GCCCCGACAGAACAATGGGCCACCATTTGCTTCCCGCCCTCTGCAGCGCTAGCCGCCCCATCCCCCTCTGCTAGCAGAAGGCTAACCGGCTAGCAGCCAAATAAAAAAGATAATTCAACCAGAGACTTTAGAAACCGCAACGCGAGACTCTGTTAATATGTACATTTTATCTTTAACCGCAGCGCCAGTTTTACAACAAAGTGACGCGTCTGCAATGGAAATATTAAACTGTACTACAGCTACGCATTTTCAACGCAGGGCTCCGTTTATACCTCGGAGAGGTCAGCGTTGTATTGACAGGACAAGGGTATTTCCTGGCATTCACACTCCAAAATGGGCGTTTCGTGTTTACAACAACACGCCTGGAACAGGCCCCGAGTGCACACATACAAAGGCCCAGCAATGCAAAGGGCCCTCACAACCGCCACGCTGTGACTCTCAAAGCAGCCATTTTATTCTTCTTTCCAGCCTCTGTCACGGACCCTTATCACCCCTGCACGGCAGAGAAACGCACCCGGCAAATCAAAGCCAGCTCATTCCCAGTGAAATAAGACAAACCTGAGACGAGTTCAGCTCTAAAAGATTATATGGAGGTACTCACTCGTCAGGATACCTGGCTACAGGCTGAAGCAGGCTCCGGACAGGGTTCGGATCTAGGATGTCGGGTTCTTTTTGTTGCCGTTGTTGTTGTTTGGAAATGAAGCAACGACTACATCCGTTGGTTCACTTTCAAACTGGGTCGAACTCGAGACTAGCAACGCCTACGTTGGTCATTCATATTCGAGGGAAAGCCAATCTGGGCGGAACCCGTCTCATCACTCGCCTGTGATTGGTTCACAGGGCCGCAAGTCAAAGCTCGTTACTACACAGCTCCACCCACCCATCAGGGTGAGAATTCTACAATCGCAACAGGGTGGAGCTAGTATGTATTCCTGACTCAGATTGGTCAGAATTGGTGTATATTAAAGCAACTGCCCAATCAGTGAAGAGTCAGGGGCGGGGCCACAGAGCAGCAGTACCGGGGACGAAGATGGAGATTGTTTAGCGTCTTTCGCTTTTATTTAGACCTTTGTGAACATAAAATGGTATTGAATTTAAATCTGCAATAATTAATCAGTCCATCAACAAATATGATGATACACTCAAAGTGTTTTAGAGACTACTGGTCAAACAAACATACAAAATGAACACTAACCTTATGAGTGAATGGAAATTGCAGGTTTTCAGTATTTTCTAACATGTAAACATTAATTAAGAAATTGGCAGATTAAACAAAAATGAAAATAATGTTAGTTGCAAGCCTTAAAGTGCCCATGGAATGCCCATTTCCAGCCAATTAATGTTTAATCTTGGGTACCTCTAGATTAGTTTTGCACCCCTCATAACTCAAAATAGTCTGTAATTATTTCAGAATGAAAATTAGAGAGCCTCTTCCTAAAAATGAGAGGACAGTTTGCCCCATTAAGATGCATTTACCCTAACATCCTAACCACAACCACTGAGGCGGGCTCTACATGAAACTGAGTTTTGAACAGGGGAAAGATCTCAGGGGACACAATAAATAAATAAAACATTGACAAACAAGCTACAGTATGTGTTCAACAATGACAATAGCTCTCAAATCCTTCCTGACATGTTCAAACCAGAATATGAAAGTGGACAGTAGGAGGAACCGCAGCAGCATTAATTAATGTGAATGTCTCCTCCATAGATAACTACACAACAGTATATGTACCGAGGAAAAGAGGTGTGTAACAGTCTAAACAAAGCGGCTAACTGAGAAACCCCATATTTTAACTGGCAAAATGCAGACATAGTAACTTTTCCAGCCTTACAACAATTCTCTCCAATGTTATAGAAACAAAGGTTTTAACAGATATGCAACGTGTGTTTTTTTTTATAATTTAGCATCAAGTCCCACCAAGTAGTGGAGGAATCACCCCTTTTCAAGTAGCTCCAAGTTCAGTAAATCCAACCGGTGGTCATCTTCCCCCACAAGTGGAGCAGTGAATGTCTAGTCACTGTGTTCATACACCAGTTAACATAAATACATAGCCCCCGGCCCCTGCTTTTACCAGAGTCCTTTGTCCAATCATACTGCTGTACTGTGTAGCCTGCTAACTTG